TAAGAATAATGAGTTGTTTTGCTGCGTCTGGCTGACTCAACCAGCTGGATTCAGCACAGAATGGAGGGAACTGGGAAATGAGGAAGATGTGTTCTGCTTCATTTTCTCCCAATCCATTTGGATCTAAGTCCCACTCCCTCTATAGATTGTAGCCTTTCCCCATTATAGTCTCTGGGTTGGGTGCACAAGCATGTGTGCTGCTTCCGTTCTTCCCTTGGCTAGCGGGATTTTTGCATTTGTGTTTTCCCCGTGTCCTCCAGCTGCCCTCTGATTCCTTCCCCCGCCCTCTGGCTCAGTTTTTTTTTCCTGCAGCCACAAGAGATGTATTTTGTGGGCATTGTTGGCGTCAGCTTCTGTATCTCAGAAAAGGAGGGGTGGGTGATTTCTTGCAGTTCCAGTCTCCTCACACAACAAGCAGCTAGGAAAGCTGAACTTAGCAGTGGGCATCTGCACTGAGGAGCTGCTGCTCTTGCAGTCTGATTATGCTACATGCCTCTTGTTGTGTGGGCTTGTCAAAAAGAGCAGAGGTGGGATTCAGCCAGTTTGCACCACTTTGGGAGAACTGGTTGTTAGGTTTCTGAGCATTTTGGTGAACTGGCTGGTGGAAGAAATCATTAGGGCAGAGAACTGGTTATTACATTGTTTGAATCCCACCACTGAAAAGGAATTTGGTATAGTCCTGCCCTAAAGAATTGTGTGCCCTGCCCCCTCCTCCAGGTTTGTGAATGGTTTTAATGCTATGGATGAGTACGCCATAAAGTAAACTGGACATTCATAAAACAGGGATTACAGGTCTTATATTTTTAGAACATTGCGCTCTGTAAGGAAAATTTAATTCCCTCATTTGTTTTTTTTTAAAATAGGGGAATTTGTGGATGAGGAAATCCAGATAGCTGTAGCTGAAAGAATAAGGGTCTGCAAGAGATGTGTTCTTGAGGTTCCACCACAAAATCGCGGAGGACAAAATTGCACTTGACGAAAGCGTGCATTTGACGTCATCACAGCGCAACGAAAACATTGCGCTGTGATCGAAAAATGTAAAAATAAAGCAAAAACCTTACCCTAACCCCCCCAAACCTAAACCTAACCCTAAACCTAACCCTTAACCTAACCCTAAATCTAACCCTAAACGTAACCCTTAACCTAACGCTAAACCTAACGCTAACCCTTAACCTAATGCTAAACGTAACCCTAACGCTCTAAACCTAACCCTAACCCTTAACCTAACCCTAAATCTAACCCTAAACGTAACCCTTAACCTAACGCTAAACCTAACGCTAACCCTTAACCTAATGCTAAACGTAACCCTAACGCTCTAAACCTAACC